TAATCCTAGCACTTGGAAGGTTAGAGGCAGAAGGATCAGGAGTTCAAGGTCATCCATGGCTACATAGTGAATTTGAGGCCAGACTGGGCTACAGGAAGGAAGGAAGGAAGGAAGGAAGGAAGGAAAGAAGGAAAGAAGGAAAGGGGACACAAAGTTGTCAGAAAAAAGTGACAGGGAAATATGGGAGGTGTTGGAGGGGAAAGAGTGGGTGTGGATTTGATCAAAACACCTTATATGCATGTATGAAATTCTTAATAAAGTTTCTTTTAAAAGTTAAAAAAAATCAATTTTGTGTGTGCATAGAATGTGGTTAGAATTTGGAACATTTCAGAGTTTCAAATTAGGGGTGTTCAACTGATATATCACAAATGTAATTACTGTTAACACTTGCCTTTTTTTTACTAACACTTATGTTTCCTGAAAGTTCAGATCATATTTGTCTAGTACACTTATATATCTACTATGTGGTTTCTGGTAGGAGCAGCAATGTGGGTTGAGGAGCACAAGCTAGTACATACAGAGTGACGAACTCCCACAGCTCTTCATCTAGTGTCATCCTATTTATTTTTTCCTCATGCTATTCCTAAAATGTCTCAACATGCATCTTGATACACCACACCCATAATTCACTAAGATCTCAGTTGAGTCCTTTTATTTGTATAGTTGCTGCTTCTTGAGGAAATACATTCTAGTCATCCTATACAGTGGACAGAAGAGGGTGTCAGATCCCCTGGAACTGATATTATAGGCAATTGTTAGCCCCATGTGGGTGCTGGGATTCGAACTTGGGTCTTCTGCAAGAACAGCTAGTGCTCTTAGCCACTGAGCCATCTCTCCAGCCTCACTTTTTTTTTAATTTAGAAAAATTTTAAAAATTATTTAAATTTTATGTGTATTTGTGTATTGCCTGCATATATGTAAGTACACCCATGTCAAGCAATGAAAAGAGGAATTTTTTTTTTTCATAGTTAATGAAGAGATTACTCTTAGTTTCTGGATGAAACTGACAGTATTTATATGTACATTAGTAAATACATAATTATTACCATTTTCAAGAATGATTAATATTTACTTGGCTGGAAGCCAATTAAAAAAGAACAACTGGGGCTGAAGAGATGACTCAAAGGTTAAGACTACTTTCTGTTCAAAGGACTTGAGTTTAGTTCCCAGAGCAAACATTAGTTGGCTCACAACCACCAACCATCTGTAACTTTAGCTCCTGGAGATCTAACATTCTGTTCTGGCCTCCAAACCAAGTACTCATGCATATTAGCATACACACACACACACACACACACACACACACAAATAAATGAGTAAATAAATAAATAAGAGTCTTTTTTTTAAAAAAAAGAGTATAACTGTTGGCTTTGAAAGCTATTCATACAGAAAACTGGATTTCTTAAAATTTAAAGAAATAGAAAAAGAAAAAAGCAGAAAAACACTATTTTTCAGTACACTTCTTCTTCCCCTCCCTTCTCAAAATGTGGGTTTTACACTATTTTCACAATAAACAAATAACTAAAAAGTTTATTACTGTATCTTACAGATGGCATTTCCTGGCTTCACACACACACACACGAACACACGCACACGAACACATACACACTGAGAAACAGAAAATATCTTTGTTGGAATCTAAATCTTGATAAATGTGGCTCTCTTCCTAGTCTTAGAAAGGACACTACAGGAGCTGGAGAGATAGCTTAGTGGTTAAGAGCACTGCCTGCTCTTGCAGAGGACCTGGGTTTGATTCCCAACACCCACATGGTGGCTAACAACCATCTGTTAACTCCAGTTCCAGGGGATCCATCGTCCTCTTCTAACCTCTATGGGCATTGCATGACATGGGTACACTTGCATACATGCAGGCGATATACTCATACACATAAAAAAAGTAAAAAGATAATAATAAAAAGCAGTTACTTTTTAAAAAAAAGATACTACAGCCTAATCTCCAAGTGGATCGGAAACTCTCAAATGTAATGGATCCTTTTTGTATACAACTTCAAGTTGGAGAAAATGGCCAATTCTTTCTTTGGTCGCACAGTGTCTTAATCTAACAATCAAAAGGTTCTTATGCTCTTCTTTGAAACTTTCCAAGGTCAGTCTACAACTGCTCACTCGTAATTTCTGTCTAATGAAATTGCAGGCTAGCAGGGCATAGTAGTATCCACCTGTGATCTGTGATCATAGTACTGTGAAGGGTAAGGGGGAGGAGGATCAAGGGATCAAGATCAGCCTGGCTACAAAGCAAGTCTCAAAAACAAAAACTGTAGAAGAGCTAGTCACAATCCTTCAAACACATAATATGCTGTTCATTTCCTTCCCTGGCATTATTTTCAAATTAATTCAAACTATATATCCGAGCTCTACTTGGTTTTTTGGCTTGCTTTTTTAAAATCAGACTATTGCTGAGAAGTCATCACAATCTAACCGAAAAAAATGAAGGCTTTTTCTCTGTGGTTCAGGCTCCTCATTATGAAAGGCAGAAATATGCCTGACAAGGCTCATAAGACAAATAGAACAGAGGTCTGACTATACCTAAAATGGAATGTTAAATAATCAGAAAGAATTAAGACCTCCACTATGAAAAACCTCCGAAGGTAAAAGACAACCCAAATAGTAAAATCGAGATCTTTTCCACACATCTATTTGAGCTTGGGTAAAAGACTTCACAGTCACTCCTCCATCTCAGATCACAAAGCAGAACCCTGCAAACGCCTCAGTGACCTCTCATACCTCCTCTTCTCCCGGGCTTCCAAAGAAGAGTCTGTTCCAGTGGAGGAGAGCACAGCGGCAGCTGTGACCCCATTGGCAGTGCTAGGTGGCGGACGATTGGTGATCACACAGAGCGGAGTACTAGAGGAGAGGCTGTCTGTTGTCTTCTCTGCTGTTGAGTCGGCCTGGGATTTGTAAGGAGTCCTGAAATTTAAAAAAGACAGGAGCAGAAGGAGAATGTCAGGCATGCTATATAACAAAACATGGGCACAGAGAAAGGAGGGGTATAGGTCTGATGAGAACCTTCTTGCTCAGATTTTGTTTGTTGGTTTGTTTGAGTTTGTAAATACCATCAGTATGATTGTACATTTACTCTGATATCCTCTACCCAAGGACTTATATTTTATAGAATTTTTTTATACAAGATTAAAAAACAAACAAACAAAAATCAGCTGTGGCACAAAGCAAGATAGTGACATATGCAAGAGTGTTTTAAATGACTCATTACCACCTGGCCTCCCTCCACACATGCACAAAGAGATAGGATCTCTCTACATGTGAAAAAGACACTAAAGTCACTTACGATATTAGTCTCCACCTCTCCCTCAATTCTTGGCAGGGGAAGTCTTTGTGGCAGTCCTCAACCTAGATTTGATGATCAGCTTCTTGAATGATCCATTTGAAAAATATTCTACAACCTCAGTCTATTAGTTCTCTCTCACCTAGTCCAGCAATTGCCATCTTTTCCTATTTAGCCAAATGCCTAATTCTCTATCTATATTCATAGCTGCCTAAGTGAGAAACTGAAATAAAAAACAAGCACGATTCTATATCTAATCTTAACTACAGACTTCTCAGCAGCAAGCTATATAATTAAAGTCATTTATGTGAAAACAAGATCTTTGTGTCTTAACAAAGAGGAGCAATCATTGGCTCTCCACCCAAAAAGCTATCATTTGTGATGTCACAGCTTGTTGCTGGGGTAACAGAGATCCAAAATTGATACAGAAATGGGAAAAGCAATGAAAAGCATGAATGTTAAAAATCTGTTTTTCACCTACTCACAATTATTACCAGAAATGTTTATAAGTAGCTACAACTACACTTCCAAATAATCTCATCAGAATAAACATAAGATCTAAATACATCCCTGAGGTACAAATATAAAAATAGAATACTTCTGAAGATAGAAGTAGTACCTAAAAAATACAAGCTGCTTCTCCAGAAGCAATTAATATCCCCAAATAAGGTGAAATTTTCTCCTTTCAAAGTTGACGATAATTTATTAGATTTATTAGTATATAGGAAGAGTACTAATAAGATTAACCAGAAGCATAGCCATAAAAAATGTTATGCCAACCTGGGAACAACTGTAAGCTTAGACTAAAAAGGCTAAAAAGCAGGAGGACTGCATGAACCCAAGAGTTTGAGGACAGCCTAGGAAACAAAGACTCCATCTCCCCCAACAAACAAACAAACAAAAATACCAAGCAAACAAATAAACAAAAATTTGAGGTTAGGCTTTATAATTTAACATGTTTTGGCCTCACTGCAATTTCTGTTTAAAATTTTTGTTTATTATTAGTGTGTTTGTGTTACCATCAGGGTATGAATATGAACACATGTGCCAAGGAGCACATGTAGAGGTCAGAGGACAACTTTATGGAGTTGGTTCTCTCCATCCTTCACATGGATTCTAGGGATTGAACTCAGGTCACCATGCCCCTGGGGCAACACCTTTACCTGCTGAGTCATCCAGCTAGCCTTGCAATTTCTTAAGATGTTGAAATGACAGAGACTTTATTATGCAATAAAATTTTACTATTACTTTGAAATGCGGTATAATTTTATAAGTAAATTGTTAGGCACAAAATAAGGAAAGCTGTAATGCAGAGATGAGAGGTTACACAATGAAATCAAATAAATAAGGGTTTTGGAACCACCTGGGGCTAAGTGTAAACCAACTCCATTCTATGATCTTTTCATCTATAAAATAGGGAAAACACTGTAACATGAAGAGTTCTCATGACGACTAAATTTAATTATTTATTTACTTATTTTTATTCTGTGTATTATGCCTGCATGTGTGTAAGTGCACCCATGTTGTGCAATGCCCGAGGAGGACAGAAGAGGGCATTGGATCCCTTGGAACTGGAGTTATGGACAGTTGTTAGCCACCATCTGGGTGCTGAGATTTGAACTTGGGTCTTCTGTGAGAACAGCCAGTGCTCTTAACCACTGAGCAATCTCTCCAGCTCCATAATGACTAAATTTAAAACTGTATGTACAACATCAAAATAGTACCCAGAATAAAATATGAAATAAACTCAGTGTAAACAAAAGGTGACAAAATAGGTAGATTTGCAATAACAAATCCAGATTTAAATTCTGCCACAGTTCCTCAATGGTTTTGTGATCTTGGGCAGATGATTAAGCTTTTGGTTTGTTTCCCCATCTACAAAAAAGCACGGCGCTTAATATGCCAGGGAGCTGCTTATGAGACTATAGATAACCTACATATACCTGAGGCAGGATTTGCCCAACTGATAGTCATTGTTCCTTTCTGCCTTACATCTATAGGTTCCCTAGATGTATCTCTCTCTCTCTCTCTCTCTCTCTCTCTCTTTCTCTTTCTCTCTCTCTCTCGTCAGAGACAACTTGCAAGAGTTGGTTCTCTCCTTCTACTATTAGGATTCTGGGGATCAAACTTAGGTAGTCAGCTAGATGTGCCCTGTATTTTTGAGGGCAACAATGTGCCTTCTAAAATTCCACATCTTCTAAGGTCTCCTGGATGCTGAAAAGACCCAATGAGACATAAGAAGAGAATTAATGTTCAAGAAAATAACAGCTCAGAGGTATTCTCTCTTTGGCCACTTCACTCTTTGTAGTTATGATGGCTAGCACTCCAGCACTTATTTTGGATTATGAGGCAAGCCATAGAAACAGACGCCATGATACAAAGATTATGGAACATAAAAGCTGAAAAAAAAATCTGAATTTTAAAAAATGACTTTAGAAATACTATGCTAGTCTTATTTCTAGGGTTTTATACTCATAAAAAAATATCATAAAAGCCAAGTATGGTGGTGCACACCTTTAATCTCAGCACTCAGGAGGCAAAGGCAGGCAGATATCTATGAGATCAAGGCTAGTCTGGTGTCCATAGCAAGTTCCAGGCCTGCTGGGGCTACAGGGGAGACCTTGTCTCAAAAAAGACACACACACACACACACACACACACACACACACCAAAAAAAACACACACACACACACACACACACACACACACACACACACACACACACACCTTATCTTAAAGCACTATTACATGGATTTACTGTTGTGAATAACCTAAATCCCAGCATACAAATCTCTTCTGTATAAACTATTCCAATGTCTGTCACAAAATAGGCCTGAGCAAAATTTTCCCCAGTTTCAGCTCTGTAATATCTCCAGTGCTGAGGATTGAACCCAGGGCCTTAAGCATGCTAAGCAAGTGCTAACCCACTGGGCTAGGCTCCCACCTCTCCTGTTTTGATTTCGTAATCTATAGTGATAATATGTAGAATGTCTATGTAGCTAGAGTATTACAGGGATCTATTAAATTTCTATTTAATTACAGTGTTATATTATTAGTGTCATAAGCCCATGTCCCCCCACACACACAAGTGTGAGGACCTAATGACCCTGCACATAATTATATAGTAGTAATGATAATACATTATAAATGGTCCTTTCTGACCAAATTAACATTTGTTATTTGTTTCAGGTAAAGAAATCTAGTGAACTACCAAAATCAATCGTCATCATAACGGGTGTTTTGGCAATAACAATACCATTATTTACATTTTTTTCATTTTCTATTTGCTAAGACAAGACCCATAAAAGCCATATGGAAAAGGAAAATGGCCTCTGACTCTCAGGAAAGGATTAAAACTCATAGTTCAAAGTGCAACCAGGGTCTGAAGAGAGAGTTCAGTGGTTAAGAACACTTGCTGCTCTTGCAGAAAGCCCAGGTTCAATTGCCAGCACCCACCTCATGCAGCTCACAACTGCCTGTACCTCCAATTCCAGAGAATCTGATGCCCTCTTCTGGTCTTAATGGGCACTGTACACACATGATATACACACAGATAAGCTCATGCACACACACACACACACACACACACACACACACACGATTTTTTAGAAGTGCAGCTGAAGTCCTGCTGTGCTTTCACAATGACACTCTGCCCATGCTACCCTTAGTTTTGAGAAATCAAGAAGACAGCCCTCAGAGCACAATTTAGGCAAACACTAACCTCTCCCTTCCCACAGTGTTCCCAAGAAATTATAATTAGCTGGAATTCTCAGAAGGTTCTCAGAGGCTTTTAGAACAGGGATTGGCTTTGCTTCTGATCTAGATTTGTATGTTCTTTTCCAAAATGACTAAATACATGAGATTCTTAACTGAAACTACTAGAAAATTAATAAGTAAAACATAGCAAAAAACAAACAAACAAACAAACAAAAACCCCCCCAAAAAAAACAAAATCAAAAAAATTTTTTGCTATAGCCCCAGCAGGCCTAGAACTTGCTATGTAGTAGGCTGGCCTTAAACTCACAAGAGATCCACCTGCCTTTAACTCCTGAGTGCTGGGATTAAAGGTGTGTGCTACCACACCCAGCAAACTATAGTAATTTTTAAAACACCATTTACAAACCACAGGTCTAATCCTTACATTGTTATCACAACAAGAAAGGTAGTTGAGAGATGAAAGCAATCCTACTTAGTTGACCCCTGAACACCAAGTACAATGACATGGATCACATGTTATTAATAAACAACTACTGACTAGCTAGTAATAGTCAAAACAAAAGCACGTTCAGTAAATTACAGACATTTCACAGGAATGCAAATTTGCTTCTACAGTGATAAAGCCTCTTTGCTTCAAATCTCATGTGTTTCCAAAAGCATTAATTTTGATGGCTGAAACTCAAATGGCTCCAAGAAGCCTTACCTGACATGTTGTACAGATGCAGTAGTGTTTGTACTGATTGGTGCGGGGCAAGAAGAGGCAGGTTGCCACTGGCTGCCCCGAGAAGTAGATGAACCAATGGTAATGGGTGAGGTAGCAGGAGATGAATTGCGATTGGCTGAAATGTAGGGACTTGTGGGATCACTACTTTTACCAAATGAAGCACTGCAAAACAGCACATAGTCACTTTCTTCAGGACATACTGCTCACCCACCATTCCCAGCACCACCTTCCCACCCAGATTGTGCACTTGAAAGGAATGTAGGCCAAAGAGAGGGAATGACAACTGGGAAGTGGAGTGATAATTCCAGCTGGAGCTGGGGCTCTGGCAGCAAGCAGGCAATCATCCAAGAGTAAAGCAATCACCACTCTTTGAAGGATGATTTTTTGATCAATCATCCTAAAGAGTGAAGGAGGAGAGATGACATCTAACAAGGGAAAGCAGGAAAGTAGAATATATGAGATTTTATTAGAAAAAATAATCCCCATCAAATTCAAGGCCCCCCAAATCATGCAACCCCGAATGTGTAGGTGATAGAGAAGTAACACTGCAAAAGTCAAAGGAAGACTAGAAAACTGGAAGAGGGTTTGGATTTAAATAAAAAAGAGTAAGCAGCTCTGTGGGGGAAAATGGTTTTGAGAACTGCAATTATTTAGCTTAAAGTAAAAATGTCTTTGGGGAGATTTAAAGTTTAAGTCTACAAAGTAACACTATGGGCAATAAAGGGCAACTTTTCTAAAAATACTTCCTGACAGTAGACCATGGTGGAGCACACCTTTAAATCTAGCTCTGGGGAGGCAGAGACTGTCAGATCTCTATGAGTTTGAGGTCAGCTTAGTTTACAGAGCGAGTTCAGGCCAGCCAGGGCCACTACAGTGATATCCTGTCCAAAAAATCAATTAAAAAACAACAGCAACAACACCAAAAATCCCTTTCCTGAATATAACAGTGATAAGACACTTGAAGGGATAAGCACAAATAGCTATGAAAAGAGATACTTTATTGAGCTGTATAAAATTACTTCCTGGCTACAGATAAGAGATGATATAGTGAATGTAAAGTACACAAGGCTTGTCTGGGATGACAAATTCCTATTTGCACTTTCTCTTTAAAATGAGAAGATCATAAGACTATATAAAATCAAAAGGTACTGTCATGGTACAGAAGATGAGCTCTAGAAATCTAAGCTTGAGCAAGTTCTAGGTCTTTTCTCAAAAGGTACTCACATAATTAAGCATACTATGCACCCTAAACAGAAGCAGCCCTCACTGTAACTTTGCCCAAATTACATCAAACCAAAGCCACTCAACCCATTTCCTAATGATTTAGATCATGAAATTTAACAACCTTACCCCAAAATAACTCTATACCTGGAAACTAAATTACAGTTTTCTTTCTGTATGTAGAACATTATTTTCTTAGAAGTGTTTTTTATCTTGGATTTGACTGTAAGAAAAAATAATGTATCTTGGTAGACCAAGGCCTTACTCTTTAAGATAAATAGGTGATAGTGTCTAAAAGTCTAAAACATCTGGTATGTATAATGAAGTCTGTGGGCAAAGGAGATAGTTCAGTTGGTAGCATGTTTGCCCAGCATGTATGAAGCCCTGGGTTCAATCCCCACCCCTTCATAAACTGGTGTGGTGATATACACCTATAATTCCAGCATTTGGGAAGTACAGGCAGGAGTTCAAAGTTAACTTCAGCTACACAGGGCATTAGAGGCCAGCTTGGGCTACATGAGACCCTATATAAATTAAAAACAAAAATAAACAAACAAAAAAATAAAGTATCAATAAGATCACTGAGCTATATTTATATACTTTCAAAGCTGAGGCCTTTCTTAGAGGATGTACCTGCAGAACTAAAGCATTAAAAGGCAACTGTGGCTGCTTACATTACAGTTTATTTCTCATGTTCTGGCATTAACTATTGGTCAAGAGTCTTCCTGTTAGGCAAAAACAGTCTTGATTTCAAACAGCTAACCTGCTCATAAGAGTCTATGGCCAAAGCCTACGTCTAAGGTAGCCAACCAATCATCTAGAAAAACTACAAAGCAATGAAGAGGCAGCTGGAAAGGTTAAGTGGAAGTGAAGAAAGAATTCAAAGTAAGCAATGAAAAACAGATTCTTCCGCATCCGCAGCGAAGTTCAAACAAAACATTAATTATGTGTGTTTTGTGGCTTAATGGCTCTGGCAGAGGTGCTTTGCTTGCTTGCTAGCTTGTGGCAAAGAAAAGAATTGCAGAAAAGAAATTACAGATGAGACAAAAGGAAACCCATGTACCTTCTCTGCACCAAACTTGCGAGTTTCACATCTTGATGGATCTGAGGGCCATTAAAGTCATAAAAAAACACAAAAACTCAAGTCCCTAAATTAACAGGCTCAATATGAAATGTCTTTAATTCAACAGAAAACTGTTCCCATTTCCCACCCTTTACCACCCTATGTCCCTTTCTCCCTCCCCACAAAATTTGTGATGAAAACTGTTCTAGTTGTTGTTTTTTTTTTAATTTTATTTTATGTGTATGCGTGTATTGCCTGCATGTAGGTAAGTGCACCCGTGTTGTGCAATGCCCGTGGAGGTCAGAAGAGGCTGTCAGATCCCCTGGGACTGGAGTTACGGACAGTTGTTAGCTACCATGTGGGTGCTGGCATCTGAACCCGGGTCTTCTGCAAGAACAACCAGTGTCCTTAACCGCTGAGCCATCTCTCCAGCCCTGAGAACTGCTCTAGTTTTAAAAGGGGAAGCCAGCAACTAGGCAAGGTTTAAGTTCAATCTTGCCAGAGACTACTAAATGCTACTTCTTTTCTGACTGACGATTTTAAAAGGACTGAGAGAGTGGAGTACAGTCAGGTCTTGTTGTGAGGATGTGAAATTGGCTTACTTTAATTCAGTTATTAAGAGAACAAATTAATTTTAATTTTAAATTAGTGAGAATGTTAATCCCAAGAAATTTAAAACCAATTTATTTGTTGATTCACTTTTGTGTTGCTAACTGGACATAAAAAGCATGCAATTATTACCCGTATTTCCATGATCAGAGTGAAGGAAAACAATCTCCCACCCCTTTCAAGCTGGTACCTTTTCAAGTAGGTTGACACAAACGTGGAAGGCGCAACTGTCTGTGGCATTTCATTTCCTTTTGCTTCATCCCGCCACAGCTGCCTGGTGTGGGAGCCACTTCTCACTAGATTAACAGCTGACTCTCTGTAGAGGCAAGAAAGAAAAACAAACAAAATGATGATTTTTACCAATTTGAGAAAGAGAAAAGCTGATAACAAACTACAGCATGTGGAAAAATAGGCATGTATTTCAAGTGATTCTGCTTTCTAGCTTTGTTTGCTGTACTACACTATCACTGTCAAAGTCCACTCATTCCAAAAGACCACACATAACTTATATCTAAAGCCCCTCATGCTTTTGTAATGAGGAGTCACTTTTGATCATCATTTAAAAAGCACCCTGTAGCCAGGTATGGTGGCTAGGAGGTAGAGGGCACTAGGAAGCAGAGGCTAACTGAGGCTTCAGGGAGACCCAGTCTCAAAAAGCCTAAATAAACAAACAAATAAAAATAGATAAACAAAAGCACCTTGTAGTCAATCCCCAGTAGTAGGTTTCAAAGAAGGGGCTGATGGAGAAATGAAGTCTGTCACCATGGGAAAATGTTCCTATAGGAGAAAGGGAAGGGGGCTTGCAGGCTTTAGCATTAGAAATGAAAAAGCCCCATGCTAGACAAGTTTCTCTGGAGCAATCCTTCCAAACTTTAATGTAAGTTTGAATCGCCTAGGGAATTCTTTTGAAATGCAGATTCTGATTCAGTAGTTCTGGGGTGCTACCTGTGCTGCAGTTCCAACAGGCTCCCAGGTGATGCTCCTTGGAGGAGCATACCTTCAAAAGAAAGACTCGAGATTGGGCTCTGCTTTGAAATGCAGCAATACTTTAAAATTCGCATTATTCATTTTAACTGATAAAGAAGGTATTAAATTTTACCTACTCACAAGCTAGAAGCTAGTCAATCCAAGCATACAATATTTTTAGTGTTTATGATGTGGTAGGCAGTATGCTAGGAATGAGAAGGCCTTGAGAAATCAGACAGACAGATTCTACCTTTACAGAGCCTGCTGGGGGACTAAAACAAACTGGAAGTGTCAGGGAAGATGTCTTACAGACAGTGTGTTTAAACTGGAGTTACAATTTAAAGGGTAAAGAACTGGTAAAGCAAGAGAGTAAAGGCCAGGAGATATTCTGAGCAGTAGGAACAAGCAATCCATAACATGCGAAGGACACCCGTGGGAAAAGGCAGAGGAATAAGGACCATAATACCACCAGAAGAGCTGGAAGAAATCATCTTTTGGCCTGCATTATGATTACCTGTTCTCCTTTTCTTCAATGTCACTTGTGCTGCTGAGCCTCCGGGGTACTAGAGTACTAAAATAGTTCTTGTTTTCTCTTTCCTGTAAAATACAAACATGTAAAACATAAGAAAGGTACAATACTGATACAGCATAAAACATATTTGATTAAAAACAAAAACAAAAACAACGCAGGACCCAGCTAGGCATAGTGGCAGTGGCACACACCTAAAATCCCAGCACTTGGGAAGTATAGGCCAGCTAGGGTTATAACAGTGAAATCTTATCAGGAAGGAAGGAAGGAAGGAAGGGAGGAAGGGAGGGAGGGAGGGAGGGAGGGAGGGAGGAAGGAAGGAAGGAAGGAAAGAAGGAAGGAAGGAAAGAAGGCAGGCAGGCAGGCTTACTATAACGATATATGGAGGAAATCATTCTCAAGAGAAAAGCCTCAATGATTCAATAAATAAAACTGCACAATTTATACCAAGCAGCAGCAGTGCCACATGAGAAGGGTTCTAAAAAGCCAAACTCAGCTCTACTGTAATATTCTTGGTAGAATATGCCTCATCTAGTATTCAGCATACTTTTCCATGAAATGCAGCTTCCTTACGGATATGTAGAGAAGAAATGCAGCAAAGTTAATCCAACCATGAGGCCTCACTCCTTCAAATCATCTCCAGAATAGCAAGACAAGATGACTATGATGACAAGGAAGGCCTGGTCACACAGAAGAACACTAAGCCCTGCAAAATCTAGAACCAAAATCTTCTTCGATAAACTGCTTATGAACTCAGTCTGATCATGTATTTCTATAAATGAACTATAACAGGTTTAAATTTCTTTTCCTAGGTAGGGTATGGTGGCACACACCTGAGTTTCCAGCACTAGGTGGCTGAGGAAGTTCACTTGTAAACTTGAGGTTAGCCTGGGCTCCACAGCAAGTTCCAGGCCAGCCTATCTAACAAACAACAACAACCTATTAACTAAGTGCTAATGTGCATCAGTTGCATTAAGATTCAAAGCCCAACTTTTGCTTTTACATATCAAAAGAGTATATTTTTCTGGTTTTAGTTCAGAAGAATCATTTGGGGCATGTTCAACTTTCTTTGAATTACTGTTTTGCTCTAGGTAAGAATAAGAATGAATAAATTGTAAGGTAAGCCAAAAGAAAAAGCTATTTTTAAAGCTTTCTATTTAGGTGAAACAAATATTAACAAGTGAATAGCTACCTGATTAACCTATTAATGTGTCATGGCCAACTCATGTTGGAACTAGATTCCTTCTATCAAAGCCTTCACCGGTTTTTTGTTTTGGTCTTTTTTGAGACAGGGTCTCCCTGTAGCCCCAGCTGTCCTGGAACTTGCTATGTAGACCAGGCTGGCCTTGAACTCACAAGGATCCGCCTACCTCTGCTGGGATTAAAGGCATGCACCACCACACCCGGCTGCCTTCACCCTTTTATAAGGAATCACTTCTGTTCTGTTCTGTTCTGTTCTGTTCTGTTCTGTTCTGTTCTGTTCTGTTCATTTAAAAGACATCTTTACAGTCTTTGTACTTTCACAGTCAACTTAGAAACTAGAAAATGCCCTGTGATCTCAGCACACTGCCAGAGAGTGCCAGGTTCTGGCCACCCTCTGGCATAGGGGCTGAGAACACAGGGGACTGCCTGAGAACACCTGCCTGGATCCTGCCTCTACGTGGTGGTGAGCTTCCTGTAATTGCACCATACCCATCCTCCTTCCTGGGATTTTGTGAGGCCCCTCCCAAGGCCCCAGGGCAGATCTGGCTTTGGTAGGCGAAGGCTGAGATCCTAGCAGACAGCCTGATAAGCCTCCATCTGTGTAGCAGCTGTGATCTCAGCATACCTCCAGAGAGTGCCAGGTTCTGGCCTCCCTCTGGCATAGGGGTTGAGAACACAGCAGACCAACTGAGAGTCCCAAAATTGCCCCCTCCCCTTGGAGAATTTCCGAAATTTTCTCTTGAGTTCCTGCTAATAGGGATCCAACCTTAGAAGGAAGGCTAAGTGTACCTGACTGGAACCTGACTTGGGCTTCCGTGGGTGCTCCTGAATAGCTGATCTGAAGCCATCAGTTCCCTCCAAAATAAAACCTAAGAGAACCTGAAACCTGTACCAACCAGCTTTACATAACCAATGAGGAAAGGACCCAGGCACTCTGTTAATACAAAGAGAAGCATACTTCAACTTAATTCTCATATCAGAATCATAAACAACAAAAGAAATTCACATGCCAAAATCACAACAAGGAATAATAAAATGGAAAGCCAAAACACTATGTCCCCATCAAACTCCACCAGGCCTGTAAAAGAGTTCTGCAACGAGAACCCCCAAGAGATAACCAAGGACACTGAATTTAAAAGAACAATCAAAAACATGATTAAGGAATTCAACAAATTTAAAGAACACATGAGCAGGGGCAGGAGAGATGGCTCAGTGGTTAAGAACACTGTTCTTGCAGAAGACCCAGGTTCGAATCCCAGCTAACAACTATCCGTAACTCCAGTCCCAAGGGATCCAACAGCCTCTTCTGTCCTCCACAGGCATTGCACAACACGGGCTGTAACTCCAGTTCCAGGGGATCTGACAGCCTCTTCTGTCCTCCGTGGGCATTGAACAACACGGGTGCACTTACCAACATGTAGACATAACACTCATACACATAAAATAAAAATAATAAAGAAAATATTAAAAAAAAAGAACACATGAACAAACAAATCAAAGTACTAAAAGAAGATAGGGATAAACTTCTGAATGAATTCACAAAAGAGATAGAAACATTGAAGGCAGAAATGAAGAAGGAAGTGCAAAACTCAGTAAGCCAACTTGAAACAACAGGGGAAAGCCTCACTGCTAGAATGAATGAAATGGAAAACAGAATATCAACACTGGAGGATGAAGTGAAGAGCTGGACCACTCAAGCAAAGATTATGGAAAATTTTAAAAATCACAGGAATGGAATATGCAAGAGATGTGGGACACCATGAAAAGACCAAATCTATGTATCATAGGAATAGAGGAAGGAGAAGAATTTCAGGTTAATGGTGTTGACCAGATCTTAAACAGGATCATAAAAGAGAATTTCCCAAAATTAAGGCAAGACATCCCCATACAAATACAGGAAGCACACAGAACACCAAATACACAAGATCAGAAAAGAAACTCCCCACGACACATCATAGTAAAAACACTAAATGTAGAGAACAAAGAGAAAATATTGAAAGCAGCAAAAGAAATACAAGTCACATACAAAGGAAAGCCCATCAGAATTACAGCTGACTTATCTGTTAGGGTTCCAAATAGCAGCTCCACCCCCTCCCCAACAGGGACCTACAAACTCTGCTGAGAAGCAGCCTGCCTTTCCTCTGACCTCCAAAGATAGGATAAACAGAGTTCCTCTTATCTTAAGAGGAAAAAGAAAACACTTCTACACCCTAATCCTACCTGCTTCCCCCTCCCTGATTCCACACCCTAAAGTCCCCATATGTAAAGTCCCAGCTCACAACCCACGGACACCTTTCCTGAACATCTTTCCCTGACTCCCTTCCCTTCCCCCTTCCCCCTTCCCCCTTCTCCCTTCCCTTCCCTTCCATCTTTCCCTTCGTGGACATCTTTCTCTTCCCGAGGGAAAGGTGCCCCGTGCGAAATAAATCTGTGCCCCACTGAGGATTCCATCTGAGCCTCTGTGCCTCATCCATCCACTCGTGCCTCCTCCATCTGCGCCGCTCGCTCCTCCCATTCTCTACCTATCATTATCAATGCAAACTATGAAAGCCAGAAGAGCCTGGACCAAGGTATTTCCAGTTCTACATGACAATAGATGCCAGCCCAGTATACTTTACCCAGCAAAAATGTCTATTATAATTGAGGGGGAAAGAGAAATCTTTCATGACACGAATAGCCTGAAAGAATACATGCCCACAAAACCAGCCCTTCAAAGAATATTTGAAGCAATACAGAGAGTGGAGAGAGAAACAACTATACCCCAGGGTCAAAAAAAGAAAATAAATAAAGGTATAATTTAGGAAATACAAAATTACACATAGAACACAAACAGCAATCAAAATGACAGCAACCAATACACATCTTTCAATAATAACCTTAAATATCAGTGGACTGAACTCCCCAGTCAAAAGACACAGGCTAAGTGAATGGATTAAGAAACATAATCCATCTCTTTGCTGTCTGAACGAAACCCATCTCACCTTCAAGGACAAGCACTATCTTAAGGTAAAAGGATGGAAAAGAATATTCCAAGCAAATGGCACTAAAAAATAAGAAGGGGTTACAATTCTAATATCTAACAAAATAGACTTCAAAGTAAAACTAACCAGAAGAGCTAAGGAGGGTCACTTCATTCTGATCAAAGGAATAATCAACCAAGATATATTACAATCC